AAAAAAAAAAAAAAAAAAAAAAAAAAAAAAAAAAAAAAAAAAAAAAAAAAAAAAAAAAGAAACAAGTGTCTCTTTAATCGTAGAATTTAATAATCATCCTCTACTATTTATAGCAAGAAAAGTCACGATTATGATGTGTAGTAGAATAAACTATATTCAATTTAATTCTTTATGAAAACGAAACATGTTAATTTTTTTTTATCATGGGAATATTAAAAAAAAATTTATATATATATTAAAACCTACCAACTACGAACGAAAATGTCTAACGAATAAGTACTTATCAATGATTAGGTGTATGTAATTGTCTTGTAACTTTGTAATTTTCAATTACGTCTAACAAACTAAATGGAATGCTGTGTCAGCAAAAATTAAATCTTTCAAATTGTTGAAAACATGTTCATAGAAATATATATACAAAATAAATATATATGTATATGTAAATAATTGTAAAATAAGTAAGTTGGCTCCAAAACTTTTCCGCAAGAGGGACTCGCGTGCCATCCAATCGAAATCAAACACATCAAGCTGTGGTGATGACTTCGGTGGCTAAATCTGATTTTGATTCAGCGACACGCAAACCTCTTGCTGAAAAGTGTTGTAGTACATGAACGATAATTAAACACTTTCTCCACAGCTCAAACGATCGTCAAACCCTCTGTTGAAATTAAGTAAAAATAAATTTTTTTTTCTGCAAGAATCAAGCCAAAACTCGTAAAGATAAAAACTAGTTGGTCCAAAACAGAAAGAGCTCTATCACGAAGAATCGAGGATGCGACTCGCGGCTCAGATTTGCGGGAAGAACTGGGCGGGGTAGGCAAGGGTCGGCGGGGCTGTAGTCTGGGCTGTCGCGTGGAAGGCAGTAGAGGGTGTCTGCCAAGCCGGCCGTTTGGGCGCGGCCGCAGCTGTCTCGGCCTGAAAGGCAGACTCCCAGGATCTCTTGAGGCCCAGCAGGGCGGCGGGATTGAGCGGGGCTCCAGGAATAATGGACGAGGCCCCGAGGAAGCCGGGAGGCGCGGCCGCTCGCAAAATGGGGATCCTGTGTTGGGGGACATTGAAGAAGAGGAGGGGCGCACTGTTGGCAGCTGCAGCGGCGGCCGCAGCCGCGGCTTGGTGCTGAGCCACTGCCTGGGCGTGCAACTGCTGCTCGTGGCTGTAGGCCGACGAGAGGCTGGGATGATGGTGGTGAGGGTGATGGGGATGATGGTGGGGGTGTTGCGCATGCGGGGACACGTTGGAGGGCAGTGCCAGAGCCTTGCTGGTGGAACTGGGCGAGGGGGCGGGAACGGCCGCGTGGGGGTGGTTGGACGCACCGTTCGAGGCCAGGGCCATGAGCCAGAGATCCTGGTTGCGAAGCGCCTGGGCCTGCACGGCTTGCGCCTGGGCCGCCTGGGCCTGGGCTTGGGCCTGTACCTGAGCTTGGGCCTGGGCCTGAACGAACGCGTGTATATCCCAGAGGGGCGCGGCAGGCTGGGGAGCGGGCACAGGGATCGAGACCTGGGCCTGGGCGGGTGGCCCGGGGGGCGGGGCGGCGCCGGGCGAGATCAGAGCCTTACCCGGTAGCGGAGCGCCAGTCAAAACCAGATTCATGTCGTCGCCGCTGCACTGGAAGACCTCGATGTAGCGCTGCTTCTTGCCAAAGCTCATGAAACGGTGGTGGCGCTGCGACGCGCACGCGTACGCGGCTCCCTCGCTGTTCATCTGGATGAAAGCCTCGCCCGAGGGTTGGCCCTGCAACGAAAATCGGTTGAGATCGGCATCGTCCACTCGACATTTTGTACGCAAATTCAATCGGAGCTTGACGCTGCCTACCTGAGCGTTGTAAACCATGTGGACACCCTGGTACTCGATGTTCTTGGAGTGGTCGCCTAGGAACTCGAGGATGTGCTCGACGAGGGCCTCATAAGGAAGGCCCCGCAAACGGATACAGTCCTTGCGAGTGCCGGACGTGATGTAGTGCTGCGGCAACATCGGCTGGATCTGGGGCAGCACTATCCTCTCGACGGGCTTGATGTCACTGACTCGGTTGAGCACCTATCGATCCGCACCAAACGATAAAGAGCGTCAAAACAACCTCCAATCGCGTTATATCAACGGTTAAGGAGCAAACGGCTCACCTGCTGCACCTCGGCGGTCGTGCTACGGAAGAGCTCGATGTACCGACTGCCGATGCAATCCCTGTGCTTGCTGAGGGCCTTGGCGGCATCCTCCTCCTTGGCGAAGAGCACAAAGGCGTCACCGGTGGCACGTCCGTCGGCCTTCTTGACGAACAAGACACCGTCCTCGGCGTCCAGCACCTGGCAGGGCTTTTGGCCGCCCGCGAAGAACTCGAGCACCTGCTTGGCCGTGCAGTCGTAGGGCAGGCCGCGCATACGGACTATCACCTGGGCACCGCGCGACAAAAACGCGTGCGCCTCGCCATTCGTGCCCCCGGCTACCGCGACAAAGTCCTCGCCCGACGACTTGTACACCTCGATGTAGCGCTGGTTTATGTGGTGCTTGTGCCTCTTCAAAGCCATGTCTCTGTGCTCCTTGCTCACGAAACGTACCAGCGCCTCGCCGTTGCGCCTCCCTTGGGCGCTCAGACACAAAGCCACGCCGCCCCTGCAACGACAATCACACCCATGGGTTACCTTGTGTGTTTTTCATCCACCTCGAATCACTTATTTTTATACAACTTGATTGACTTTTCGGGCGATTGGAAGGACAATAACACAATTTTTCAGCGCCCAACATCAAATGAAAAAAGTACGCTTGTTTATTGTACAAGAGAACGATCGGGAATACACTGTGTTTACTCTCCCGCGGTTCGGCTGGAAGCGATTAGTTTTACCCCCGTTTCGAACAATCGATATACACATCAATGGAAACATTTGAGGCCTCGCGTGTAAAGTCAGCACTGTACAAAATCAGCGATGTTGCGAAGCGAGACATTGACGACGGCTCGGGCTGCAGTCGAGCTGTGGGGGGAAAAAAAAAAAAAAAAAACCCCGAGCGATCGACAAACAACCCATCTCGTCTTCGTCGGCGATTTACAATCAGCTCTTTGGCAATATACATATGTATTTATAGACACCGAAAAGCGAGAGAGTGAGAAAGAGCTTGATCCGTGACCCCAGATAAGACGCAGCTGCGTGTTACGCGCGCTCTAGGTATCGCGCGTGCGTTCGTTTGCGCAGTCGGGGCACGCTCACCATGCGCTTTTGGAAAAACAAAAAAAAAAAAAAACGAGAGCTCAGCCTTAGACTTTTTCGAGCTCGCGATGGAACTTTAGGCGTACGGGTACATGCACACATACACGCGAGTTCATTGGCACTGCTCATGTCTATTTTTCTTTTCCCACGTTGGCTCGCGACGATTTTCAAACTATCGCGAATGAAAATTTCTGTACTACGTAATCGGGGATGGGTGAATTTTCGCTAATACGTTAAGCCAATGAATTTTGATGGATTGTATTTTTTTTCGTTTGATCGAACATTCGGTTTAAAAATGAGTCTCTGTACAAGAACGTTTGTGCAACAATTAATCATAGACATTGCAACAAGTATAACGTATGTATGCATGTTAAACATAATAAAGTGCAAAATACAGTAAAGTGCTCGTAAACCATCTACACATCTAAAATTTAATAACACCAGTAGAATTTTTTTTTACCTGAAGCTGAATTTATCCAATCGCTTGCACATAAACACATCATTAGTTCATTAATTTATTAAGAATATTAGGATGCAGGGTTTCTTATATAAATTTACGATCAACTAGTTTAAGAATTTAGTGATAATTGGGTATGTGTTGAATTGAAAACTTACTTTGCCACATTCAGACCACGGAAGAATTTCGCGACGTCCTGGTCAGACGATTGCCAGGGCAGTCCTCGTGCTTTCACCACGCAGTTGTTGTCTACTTTTTCATCTTTCGAGCTGTAATGACATTTTAGCGTTCGGTAACTATTTTTCATTCATTTTATGCAATAATAATACCACTAATAATTTATGAAATTACGGTAAAAGTGAAGTGAAATCGGTAAATAACTCACCATATGCCGGGTTCTAAGACGAGATTAACAACCTCCGGGTGCTCGAAAACGTGTCCTGCAACAGTAAACGAAATTTCTTGTGAGCATTTAAAAAATACCACGCAAAGATCTTATACTTGGTTCTCTTGATCGAAATAAGCAATAAATCGGTATCAAAAATGTTGAGCTACTGCTGTGGATTTACCCTTGAGGAACTTAACTCTAGCTACGCTGTGCATCTCAAGGTCCAAAGATCAATTTAAACAAAACTTTGACACACAAGTCTGTCACGATTCTAAACAAAAGCTTCCACAAAAGAGTCATCGCCAAAGTTTAATTAAAAAACTATTTGTCTACTGATGGGCGTTTACAAAAATGAAAAAAAAAAAAAAACTGCGTCTAGTCAGAAAAGCCTCCAGCGACAGAATGCCGCGCGACTGCAGCTCGTCGTTGCTACTTCCCCTTGTGAGTAATCCTACACCCTCATCCTGTGTCTCGTTTCTACGTTTTTAAAACCATACCAGCCGCCGATCGCAGTCCGGCAGGAGGAGGTGGACGACTCGAGTTCACGCCGATGCAGCGAAATATTGTTTGCCGGTGCGCATATTTTCGCGAGCGGGAGATCGAAGGTTCACTCGGAATCGATTGACGCAGCTTTATTCATTAATTATACCATTTTTTCCTCGGGAGAATTCATTGAAAGTAATGTAAAAACAACAATACGCAAATAACTGTATGTACCGCGTAAGGAGTTTCGGGTTAATGCATCAATGACTTTTCTTTTTGTTTACAAGCAACTACCGCTTAAAAAACTTGTCAAAACACAGTGTACGAAATGAAAACATGTGCTTTATTTTTCAGATGATCGCAAATATCTTATGCAACACTTTTTTTGCAATGTTGAGATTTTCATGAGTAGCCGGTTTCTCTGCTGTACATTAATTTCTTGAGTTATCATTGAAAATGAAAAAAAAAAAAAAAAAAAGAAGAAAAAACCGATTCCTTAATAAAAGTCTTTTCTGACCCTGGGATAATCTCCAAACTGAACCGATTCTCGAGTAAAAATTAAAACCTTGCGAAACCGGAATGTTTTTGATGCAGCCGACATAACACGAATATCACCAAGAAAATAAGTCATGTTATACATCAGCGAATGATGTTTGTCGATCGACTGAACAGCTACTTATGCTAAAGTCATTTTGTTCCTTTTTTATGACTTATCAATCGAGCCTATTAATATATACTACTCTTCGGATGTATCCGGATGTATAAATATTTTTTTTTTCTGTTCCACCTTACCATCTTTTATCATCCTTTGAATGACAGCGATCATGTCACCGGCTTCCTTTGCGTGATATTCGTTCTCCGTGTCGTTCGGCAGATTAAAGTCTGATTTTTTTTTTTTTTTTAATAGTCAAGGATACAATGTTGCACAATGTATATAATATAAAAATTTGCGTAAGCTAAGAGCGATGATGAACTAGTCAGATTTTTTGGGTCACCCTATCTTTAATTATACTGTTGTAACGTCAACTATTAATTAACTTTTTGTTAAGAGTTTCAACAAAGCGTTCAAAGTCTCGTTTTCCAACGACTAATTTTGTGTCTTTGTTGCTGATTCACATAATATAGTCTCCAAGGACGTTGGATGACGTTGCACTTTATGAAAGAAACATATTTAATGAACTATATGGACATGGAGAAAGAAATTTATTTTCTTAAAAAAAAAAAAAAACAACAACAACAACAAAAACATATATGTATATTGTGTTGATAACTTTGGTCTCAAAGCATAACAAACAATCGAGATAACATTTGAGTTAAAAAGGAATGGTAAACAGTATAGAATATACTTAGTGTTAAAAGCTGCTTTACAATCCTTAGCTGTATTGTTAGTGTGGCATAAAACAACCGTACTTCGCTTCACACTCTGTTTTGCTTTAGTCAAGGTATCATTCGCCAAACCGCGCTGGACTTCTACGAATTTTTTGTCGAAAATGCTGCTCTGAATTCAAAAGTTCATAGCAACTGAATAAAATTACACTCTCAAATTTTTGGTAGGTAGTGTTCGTCATGTCGGTGTATTTGTCGTAAACTTCGTACTGTCAAGGGCGTAAGTTGTCACTCGCAACCATATAGCCATTTCATAAGTTATACTACAAGAGGTCATTTTATTAATGCAACGTTTGGTACATATTGCCACTAACGAAACATAACAAATGAAATGCAAGGTGCACGCATGTAAACATTTATTTTCCTTATGTTCCGTGCCGATTGTCTACTAAATAAACGATACTTGAAGATCAGAACTTTACTTCATCACGAAGAAATTATTTTTTTCATCTTCAAGTTATCTTTAGTATTACAGTTGGAGTAAACTGAAAATTTTTACTTCAGTCCACGGTAACATACGTGTGACATTAACGAACAAGTCTTTCTCACAACCTGTGCCCGTTCGAATGCAACATAATATTATTGTGGACCAAAGCGGAATATTGTGTTGCTATTGAGCGTTTGTCTTTAGACGCGATGTAATTCGTCAATTACTGGAATCGAGTGGAAACTTGAGGCTACGAATTGCCGATTTTCATGCATTTCAAGCCGACACACTGCAAACGTGATTCGTGCCTTCGAGAAGAAACGAAACAACCACATTTGCACTTGAAACAACTTGCCGCGTACATGAGCTACTCGAGAAATTTCTTCAGTTCCGTCATAAACGAGTATAAAAGAAGAAGCAAACGCGTACTCGTGTTTGCCAACAAAAAAAAAAAAAAAAAAATTAATCAACCACACGTAGCAGAAAGACAAGAGATCGTTGCTCCAGCAAAATCTTTTTCCCCTTGGCTAAAACGACGATATAGGNAATGAACAATTTTTATTGCCATAGTATGGAGGTACATTTGGGCAAAGTCGTGTATTGATGATATTTAAGAAGGATTGTGTTTTATTTTGAAAAAAATTGTTTTAATAATAAAATACAATTGTATTTCAAATACATGAGCATTTTGTTGCAATGTTTTTGAAATCAAGTACTTATGTTTAAATAAAAATTTGTATCGTTATTCGAAACAAAACATCTTGTTATTTCGCACAACGTAAACAATTATTGTAATTTAAAATTTTTAACACTCGAAATATTTTGCGTCACGAGATTGTCGTCGACTGCTAAGTATATGCCAGGAGTAATCAATCAGGTGAATATTTTAACCGGAGAGATTGAATTTGGAAAGTTCACAACAAGCACTTGCCGTCGCAGATATGTTAACTGATAAAGATAAAAGATAAATAAGAGTGACGTTTGATTTCGTTGTGTTTTATTTGTTCGTCCGAAATAAATTGAGCTGAGGAAAAAAAACTGTGTTCTCAATAATTTATGTACTCGACTTGAAGTTGAGACTTTTGTTTATTTAATGTTATATAAATGTTGAAGATACTATAATGTATTCTTATTTGCAAAGTTTCAAGGTACAAAAAAAAATAACCTGTAAAACCAAACAAGATTCGTAAATCATCATTCCAACATAGGTGTATATTCATAGATTTATATTTTTCTTATGCGTTATGGCGTCGGCAAAAATCATATTTTTTACGTGTTAGGATATTAGCACATACGTACAGTGATTGATTAGCTGGTACGTGAATAACATTAAAGTTGACATTGCATAACCATGTGCCAGTCACGATTTTGAAAAATAAGACTTCATAAAAAAAAATCTTTTTAACATACTTACACGTTACTTGAAACCTTGTATTAACGACGCACGAGTTTGGAAGGTTTAGTTGGAGGCCCGAATCGTGATGATAATATTTCTTAAGTCTATACATCATTAAAAACTCATTTTTCAAATTTGCTTACATGGATTTCCTCCTAATATTCTTTAGCATTATCATTTGTAACGATTAGATATCGAAATTTTTATCTAAACGAAAATGTATTTGTTACTAATTTCTAAATCGTTTGCAACAACGTCTTTAAGTAAAACGGTGAATAGTTCTACCTCTAAATTTTAATAAAAGGCAATCATTTAGTTTTTTAATTAAAAAAAAAAAAAAAAAAAAAAAGAGTAATGGCCGTGGTTTATTTTTGCCTCTGCGTACCGATCAAACCCGAGTTACGTAATTTCACAATCAGCCCGGGTTATTTCGAGTCCCCAAAGACGCGCAGCTCATTATTCAAGTGACGGCCCCTCTCCCTTGGCATCACGGCATGCGATACTCACTTTTGAAATTCGAGCCTAAAAAGCAAACTCTCATTTTTCAACTGCGCATAATAATGCAACGATGCACGCACGCTTATCGATCGAACCCGGTGTTATGGTGAAGGAAATCGGTGATGCTTTGAATCCAAATATATAAACGTGTAATGTATGTGTTTACTTTACGAGGGGAAAAAAAAAAAGAATCCCCGTATTGTATAACACTGCTTACCCGGGCGATCTTATCTCTCGAGCTCCAAAACGAGAAATGTGACACCAAGACGGTAGCTCTGGAAAACTATGCCTAGTTGTGCCGATAAGAGAGCTTTTTTTTTTCCTCCTCCTTCGCGCCCGGGAACGCTCGACTTACTGGCGCAGCTGTCGAGAGGCCCGCACAGCCTCTAGCCGTAATCTCACGGCGGCGCTCCGTGACCTTTAAACCGTGCACCCGTCCCATGACGCGTTGATAAGAAGAGACGAGGGGCGGTAAGTATGACGGAAATCTCGAGGATGAGCTTGCGCGGGAACGCGGTGTAGATTATGGAAGGCAGCGGAGACGTCGTAAGAGTTTTTGGTGGTTTTATTTTTAAAAGAAGCTTGTGTTTGTTTGGATGTCTGTTTACTCATCTGCACGACATTTTTTTTGTACCTCTTCCAAGTGCGAAAGATAAAAAAAAATAATAAAAAAAACCTCACAACATACATCGCACGCAACACTTGGGTGCACGAGCAACGAGCGAACGTTACCAGCCTACCGTTTTTTTTTTTTTTTTGTTCTTTTACCATCGTATACACACAAACGTCCATCTTCAAAGTCCAAAAAGACCCAGCGAGGTGGTACGCGGCTATAAAATCGAGAAACGAAAGAAAGTCACGGGCAATAGTGTCTGATGTGAAAAAAGTTACAGAGACCTCGGCGTGTGCGCGCACCTCGATTGATATCACCAGTATAACAGGTGGTTTAGTTTTTGTCAATTGCACGAACGCTGTATATACATCGACGCAACGATATTTATAACCGTAAAAAAAAAAAAAAAAATGTTAACGCCCGCACCTGTACTCGCATCGCGTACCATTACTTGTGCGTACACAATATCGGTGATTATAAGTACTTTTAGCTTGGAAATTCTACTAGCCGATTTTACGAGCTCCCTCGCGAATTAGGTTTACAGCCTCTCGTTTTTGACGCTCGATCAATTTTTACGTTACCGAGTCCCGTTTTTTTTTTTCTTTCCTTCGAAAAATCGTTCTGTGCAAATTTTTTTTTTTCCGTTCGACGATCGCGTGTTTGTTTTGGCTGATTTCGATAAGCCGATCGAGCGAGCGTTCGAGCCAAATATTTTTTCTGGATGGCAGTTTTGTGAGAAAACAATTGTCGATAAGAAGACGATATACCTAGTTGTGCTTTGCGGGATAAAACAAACAAACGACGCACGCTTACAAAGATGCAAGATCGAGGAATTTTTCATACCTTTGCTGAAACGCGTATGATTGATTTTTTTTTTTTCCCCACTTCCATACTTGGATTTTTCCGAATATAATGTAACGAACAACAATAACGAAACTCCACTGGTCGCCCGATCGGCAAAATAAAATCGCGTATACGTATACCAATGCTCGGGTGTACGATTGCACGATCCAAGAACTGCGCGGTGCACTTTTACGATATTTATACTGTGCCTCGATTCTTCCGCTCGGCAACCACGACGACGCAAAATAATACTCAACACACCCCAAACAACTGTACCCAACAAAGTTATCTTTGTTCCTTTAGCCAACGAGTTCGGCCAGCCGGTATCGATTTTTGGCAATTTAATTTTTCAAACCACTCGGCCAGACTCAACTTATCGAGAGGATAAAAAGAAGGGAAGAAAAAAATATATTTACCTCTGTTAACACTCATAGACGCTACTATGGGTGCAATCGTAGTTGGCGGTGAACACGCACTTCCAACTCTAATACCGATCCCACGGCGATCGGGTGCTTTTCCACCGCGAGTTATTGTGTTGTCTCAAAACGAAGGAAAATCCGGACGATTCGCCGCACACGCCGACGCACGCGTGAGGTATGCCGCACGAGTCACGCCAACCAAACCAAACAACGCGACTCTCTCCGGGAGAATGCGAGCGCGTGTTCCTCGCCAACGGCGCATACCTACCAAGTTAATGTATTACTGTACTCCGGGGACGACGAGTGTACGTGCAGTTGTTGGGCTCTCCGAAGGGGCGCGCGCAAGCTTTCTTTTCAAAGGCCCACTGCGTACACACGTATCACCTAGTATATTATACCCAATACCCACAAGTATATATATATTATGTACTCGTGTGTTTTTATGTGGCTATAAGCTGTACGCATGTGTATGGGTGTGTGTGTTCATGGGGGGCTCTCAAGTTGCGCTTTTTCTCATTTCCGTGCGTCACGTGGTTTTAGCTCGTCGTCGGGCAGCACATACATACATATACCTACCAAGGAAAGAGAAGAGGAAACCACTGGTGGAGCTGCAATTTTATTGTTGTGCTCCATGGGCACGCGGTCGGCGTACTATAGGGTATTACCTGCAGTTGGAAATTTTTCTCCCAACCGATACAAATATACACGTAATATTTTTATGTTGTCTTGTGTACGGGGAAAAATGAGTAAGCGTTCTCCGCAGTACGAGGTTTCAGTACAGTATTTTTGACGTCGTGTAATTTAGTTCGATGTCCATGGTAAGGGTTCACCAATCGGATTTGTCGTCGGAGTTTGAAGAGCTCTCGATCGTCTCCTGTGTGGTTCTCTTTTTTTTCTCTCTTTCCTCACGTTCTCGTGAATAGTCAATGAGTCTGGATGACAATTATTTATCTCTTCCGGCATAGTCAGTATATATATGCGTCTAAAGACTTGCGGTGAATTCGTGTTTTTGGTTTTTTCACTGTTATTTGGAGTGGTAAAAATGTTCCGGTTTTAGGTATAGTTGAGCTAATGAATCGGTGAGTTCTCCTTTGCATTTTTCAAGTGCATTAAGCATCAATGAAGTAGAATTTACTTTATTACGATGTATAATCGTTTAAAAAATTACTCGTGAACGCAATATTTTAAAGCTTAGTATTAAATGTAAGTTTTCAAAATGCAGATAAAGTCAGTGTTGTTAACAAGAGTAATAAAGATCATGAAAATCTAAAAAAAAAAAACGTCTAAACAGCGTATTGACATAAAATCAACGCAAGGAAACCCAACGAGTACTCGACATCTTTAATGTCTGCAGAAACATCTCAGTTCACGTGGTTATGGTGATGATGGGGTTCTGAGTCATTAGTGCATCGAAAATTCTAATTAACGGAATTTCGATGCAACTCAACGTATACCCACGCAATTATTTTATTTTATTTTTTTCTCTTTTCTACCTCACTTTTCATTGATATCTACACGGTGTGTCATTTATATTGAGACAATGAGATACCTCGATTGGATTTCATTATTCGAAGAAATGTTTCACACAAAAGTTATTTTGCTCATACTATACCTAGTGGTGACCTAATTATTCGCACCACAATTTTCAGAGCAAAACTACTTTTTTTAGAAATATCTTTTGAAATAATAAGATCATGCAATCAAACTATTTTATTGTGCCAAAAGAAATTACTCACCCTGTAATATATATAAGAAGTAGGAACATGCGTACGGGTAAAAAAAGGAAAAATCACGTCTCTCTAGAAAAATGTACGGGTATTTTTTTATTATTCTTTCATATTACGTCTACCTAACGCTCTTTTTACGGTGCGACGCTAACAAGTTTTCTGATTTTCACTCAAATTACCGTAAGGTGAAATCGCCAGGAGGCAATCATCGGTGCGTTACGAGCGCACGTCCCGAAAACAACAATACCTACATCTAGACGCGCGAAACTTGGTTACCTGCTACTTTGTACACGACAAATATCGAGTAAGAACAAGAGGGATGGAGATACTGAAAAACTCTTAATTTTAGCATCATTTTCTCAAAGTGCCCGTTGGGAGATTTTAGCGGCAAAGTGACCAAAGCAAGTCTTGGGTATTGGAGGGAAACATAATTCCTTCACTCATTGTGTTATGCCTTAATGGCAGCAAGCTCATGCGTCCGTTTAAAAAAATGGTAAACTGTGCTTTCGAAGCGTCATTTTTACGAGGACGAGTCGTTAAGAAAAAAAAAAAAAAATCATCACCCTGTAGCTTACACAATTTTAATACATTTTAAGAGAAACGTTGTACAAAAATTACCATGAGAATCTAGGTAACAGTGAGAACAAATACGTCACTGTAGAGACAAAAGAAAATTCAAATGGCTTACATTTATACTTTCTCGATTACCATATAAATTTTATTTTTTGATAGAGAGCTATACGAGTCACAGAATTTTCCAAGAATCCTACGGTATTTTTTATAAAAAAAGATGTTTTCCCATGTAACATGAGAAAAATAAAAGAGTATGGTGAAAAATCAAGTAAAGGATACAATTCAGCATGTCCTGAATGTTAGCTGGCGACAGCTCGTCGTTGGTGGAGTAGCACGAGATGAACTCCTTCCTGAGGTCGTGGAAGACGGTGTAGTGGTTGGGTAGGTCGATGAGCTTGTTGCAAGTCTCGGGATGGAGGCACTGCCTCAGCGGTGCCTGACCATCCACCACGAATCGTGGCGAGCTCCCTGCCGCCACGCACGTCAACGACGACCACCACGTTTCGAACTGCAAAAAAAAACACCCAAAATTATTACATCTGCATTTTTACTGATTTCATGTATCCTCCAATTACATTATTGTGCATATTTATTTTGCACACGATTTTCAAAGTGCCATCAGCAAGCTGCATCAGATAAGCGACAACGGGACACGTACAATAGTCCATATGTTTTTTAATTCAAAAAAAGCCAGCAAAGCTTGAAACATTTGTACACAAGAGGTAAATGTATCTCTTAACTCGACAGCAGTTGCACATTTAGCAGCAGGTGGCAGGAAAAGGGATAACACCCCCATCGCGAACACGCATTTGGCCATTTGAGGATCGTGTCGATGCACTCTGAGTATCACCCGCATCGTCGGGACCCGTAAACAATACCAAATGGTGATAAAAAGGCGCGCACGAGCTTTTCCCGTATCGTATGGTTTTGAAATGCGTCATAACTCGCTCATTCGACTGTCGCGACCGGAGGAGTTGCGAGAAAATACGAGAAAATATGCTCGAGTGAGACATCGAAAAAATAGGTAATAGACTGATCATACGACGCGACTCTTGAAGGAACGTCTCCTCGCGAGAGATTCGATGACAAACGGTACATCACGATCACGCGGGATGGGGGAGACGACAACTTCCTGCCCGAAAAATTGATTCGCCGAAGGCTGCGGTCGAGCTCATACTTAAGCGGTGGTCTGATGTCCGCGAAAGGACGTACACGGTGTGCGAGTAAAGAGACTCGTGGAGTACAGCCGAGAATTATTGCGTAAGTCGACACGCAAGTCATCAGCAGCCGAAGAGCTGAATCGCGCACTCGTAACGCAGATAACGAGGTGTCCTACCCCCTGGTATTAACGACCGTACATATATGGTACACGTTACAAGTATCTGCGTTATAGGTACTTATTGTCCGTCCTCGTCGTCATACAGACGACACGTGTGCTTTTTTTTTTGTCATCAGGCGATCGTCGATTCTACACTTGCGCAATCGCCGACTTGCTCTTTGGTTGGTCATTTTTTTGTTGCGTCTTTTGTTTTGAGGGGTTTTTGTTTTGCTCTCTGCTTGGCTAATACTCGACACGCGCGTCGTGGCACAACCTGCTGTTTATGTTTCATTTGAAGACTCGAAAGCGAATGGTTGCTCACGTTTGTATGTATGTACGAGTTTGTGACAGCCACAGTTTTTTTTTATTCTAGTACGAGTTATGTGTATTTATCTTTTTATTGCTTTTTTTATAAAGTTGAATTTCATTTATCAAAAGGTCAGAAGGTACAACGTATTAACAAGATTGAGATGTACAGCTCGCTGTATTTGATCTAAAAAAAATTTTTCCATGGAATCATTCGAGCTCGGATCGAGATAAGCAGCGGTGGAGATGTTTGATCATAAAAATCGTGAAATAGATTTCAAGTGATTACGAAATCGGTTTTTATGCACACAAGATACTGTAAGGTGATAGCGAAATAATCGTTTTCTCTTCCATTTCATCGTATACATTGATTAGTTACTCTTCTCTCAAGTTTTGTCTTGAAAAAAGTGGATTTATGATCTCTAAATAAGAAATAGGGGTAAGTGTACCTATCTCCGTGGCACGTACTGAAAATTCCAACTTAAATGCACCATAAAAAATGGTATACTAAAATTTTTTGGAATACTTTTTTTTTTAAATCTTACATAATCTCTTACGGAATATTAAAAAAAAATTTATGAAGCTAAAACTGCAGTAGAATATTTTTAAAACGAATAAAAACGGTATGCTGGTATTACCGTGGTTGTGTACCTATTACCGTGTACGTATTACCGCGGATAAGTATAGGGTTATGTTTACGTACGCTCACCGCGGAAATACGTACACAATCAGTTAATGAGCGCGTTGTACCGAATACCGTGGAAAATAATTATTTACTCAAAATATACACAAATATTTCTGTTTGAATTGCATCTACATTAACGTCATTTTAGATTATTAAAATTGAAAAATTATTTTATATGAAANCGAGCGAGTCCCTCGATCTGATAGATGCCGGAATTGAGTCCCAGAGACGCATTGCGCGCTGGGAGAAGGAGGATGCGTACACATTTAAAGTAGCTCGCGGCATATGAAAGTCAGATCGAGGGAGACGCTCAGATCGCCGCAAGTCCTGATTTGCCGGAGGGAGAAGGTCGTACATGTACTTTGGCTCTTTGGTGCTAAGAATTTTGTATGTGGTTACAGCTAAAAAATATTCGCGCCTAATACTCGGTCGCAACCATCCAAGCCTTTCATAATATTTCTTCAACGACGCGTCACGCCTAAGATCACGCCGCTGATCGGAGAGAGAGAGCGCGGGAGAGCTGATAACGCTCGGGCCTCGGGCCCGCCGCAGAAAGGTGATCATCATACTCTGTATCTGCTGCTCATGCGCCGTGAGAGGTGAGTCTTGGGCGCGAACTTACAAAGGTTCTAGATACTGTACGTCACACCCATGTAATAGTAAATTAAAAATTCATAAAAGTTTCACCTCCTACTGGGGTTCTAAATGTTTAAAGTGTGCGATCTTTATCATCAAGTTTTTGAAGTTGACAATTATTTCTTATCACAACATACATGATCTCGTTTAATTAATACCATAAATTACATCAAAGGATCAGGTTACACAAAAAAAAAGAAGAAAAAAAAGTTTTTAAAATGTAAGTAAATCGCAGAAAAAGAAAAAAAATTAATCCAACCTGTTCGATGGCCTGTGCCAGAGGAATGCCGTGCTCGCGCAGGTAGTCCTCGGTGAGGGTCGGTGCGTGCGCGAGGGCCGCTTCGCTGACGACGCCGCTGCTTCCGGCAACAGCTGGATTATCGCTTCCGTTACTGCCGTTACTCTCATCCTCCATGACCATCGGCTTTACCACGTACTGCTGTCTGCCCATTACCTGCAATTGAGATTCCGATTTTTTTTCTTTTCTTTTTTTTTTATTATACTCACACACGCGCGCCAATCATCATCGTACGCCTTCTACCTTCTACCTCTCTCGTTTACCATACCATTACAGAGGGATAGGAAACTCTCTGACGCCGTTTTGAAGTTTGCCTATTGAATTATACGTGCGCGAGGGAGAGAGGAATGGGGTATCGCGCGAGGAAATCTGTATTTAAGCGCCGTAATGTTTGATGATTCGCGAGTAGGGAAAGCGTTGAAATCCTCGCGCGTGGAATATATACTGCCTTGTAATTAAGGAGTAACGTGTGCGTGTGTACGTGTGCACGGACAAGGACGTTGGTTTAATTAATTTTGGTGTTGGCGTTGCTTTCGCAAACATTTGCTTTGATGGAAAAAAAAACCAGGTGAGATAATGTTTGGCTGGTAAATCGTTACAGGCATTAATACATGCCAGACTATCCATCAACCAAGTGATGTTTGATCAAGGCTTACTTGATAGTTTTTTTTTTTTTTTTTTTTTTTTTCATACTCTAGCTCTTAGTAAATAGTAAAAATGTGAACGGTGCCGCGCAAGAATGAGCGATGATGACAGTACTTCATGTTCGCACGTTTGATGACTTAAGCGATGATTTGTCGAACCGATAAATTCCAGTATGTAACGGACGAGGTACTCTACAACGGGTAAAAAGTGTCTAACTGTCCAAATTTTATAATCTTGAAAAACAATTAATAAATAATTGAAAAGTATTAATAAGATGGGCAAGAGTTGTAGAAGTAGATTTAAAATACGGGGGCTCTACAAAAGTAAATGATACGTAAGAGTTGGTGTGAAATCGATAGCACCACTAACTACGTCGTCTTACAATTAACATACGTAGAAAAGCGTGTGGGTCACAAGACTCATCTTTTACACTTTCTTAATCGTTAATTCAAAAAAAAAGAAACCAAAACGATCAACGTGAATATATATATATATTATGTGCAACGTGACCTTATTTATACGATTGTGATAATGCTTGGGCCCCTGCAGTCATACAACCAACACAACTGTCGTTGAGCAGTGCGCCGCCAAATGCATATTCATAGGCGTTGGCTTTACCACTACCCTGTATAGGTGTATTCCTCACGTCTGTACGTAAAAGGCAAAAAAACGCAAACGAGCCAATTAAAAAGTCGATCGACGCTTCCGGTTCTTCCTCGACCACACACACACACACACACACACACCAATGATGCTTCGAAGATCCTTCATCACTCAAGACCCTTTTCCGAGGGCTTATATACTTATGCTGTGGGTAGTATACCTACACCCTTGTATAACGGGAAGGAAGAATTTATGGTTTCCTTGCGCGCGTACACAGAGTAAGGCCCCGCTGAAATTGTATCCATCGCTTCGGTATTGGGTAAAACTTACGAGCAGCAGCCAGGAAACGATAAAACGCGTGCATATGTGGATCGATTAACTCGCCCCCTAATGACGTAAAGAGTTGCTCATCATCACGATCCAACCTCTTCTTCTCCAGTTTCGCTCGTCAAGCCGACCTTAGCTTTATACATGCACAGTGTTTTTTTTTTTTTTTTTTTTTTTTTTTTCATCGCAGTTGCAGTATCGAATTTACCGTAATTTTTTTTGCCTCCCCTCCCCCTTATTTAGGTAAAAAAGAGGAAAGAAGAACCATCAAGGTGAACCGCACGCAGGTGGGTGTATATATCTTGAGAAAGTCATCGGCGCGCAGTGCGCGTTTGAGCACTTTGCGGTTCTGCTAATTAGTATAAGTAATAAGCCAACGTTGTTGTTTAGTGCGCCTTAGCGAAGACGAGAGACCTATGCGTATAACATCACGAGCACGCGTTGTTTTCAGGTCTCGTTTTCCAGGCTGTTGAGCCAAGCGAGTGACTCGCTCGACCGTAAACGAATGCTCCTTCACCGGTGAATCTTTGCACTTCTTAATTGATGATTGCTCGCCTCGGTACTGTAGTTTTATTCATAAGCTGGGGTACGGGTTGGCGCTGCTGAGAATCCGGTCTAATGAAAACACAATTGATGCCGGCTAGCGATGGTTAAGTCGGTATAGGGTGAGAGTTTAAGAAACTGATCTTGATGTTAGTTCAAGACTCCCCTGCTCTCCTTTAAGGAAGCATGTGTATAAGACAATAGACAATGCTTGTTGTAATTACGCAAAAGAAATTGTAAATATTGATAGAGTTGTTGCTCCTCCACGGATTCATTTTTTTTTAAGTAAAAATCTCATTTTAATTTTTGCTTACTGATCTAAATGCGAAAAGGTTTTAATAAATTATAAAAAGTTCGATAAACAGTACAGATGTGGACACGATTTCCAAAAATCAAGTATCTAGTTTGATGTGACCGATTAGAAAACAGCGTTAAAATAATGTTTTTTTTTTTTTTTTCTTTGAACGTGCTCGAAAAAAGTTCACGCACTGCGTATGAACTTGTTGTCGACCAAGTGATATTATCACTCGTAAAGCACAACATGGGAGATCGTGATAAGGCGATTGACTGGTGTAATGTGATTTGCCGTTGAAGAACAAAAATACACAAGGTTAGCGTAATCTGAAGTTTTCAGAGCACATGACTAACGTAACTGTGTCGACAATATAAGTAGATAAATTTACTTTTATCATCAATTTACTTATATAAATAAAATATACTTTTCTAAAAAAAAATTATTAGTGTTTTAAATGATTAATTTTCTCTCTTACGTGACTGCAACGTTGTACGCACCCGCATGTGAGTAACAGAAAAAAATTTTTCATAGAAAGCCCGTTGCTCGACAAAAAAAAAGAAACGAACAACGGGGACTTTATGTCATCCAAAAATTAAAGAAAAATTCCTGGCCCCAGATCAGTATGCATACAATTTGTTTAAACACTCGATTAAATGTAAAGATGAATTGCTTACTTCCGATAACGTACGTCAAAAGTTGTACTGAATATTAAGATACGAGAACTTGGGATGTATTAATTTTCTTGGCTAGAGATTATACTGTTAGAATGCAATAAACATTGGGATACTTAGTAATTTTTATTAAGAACCTTTTTTATATGGTAAAAAATGGTATGTTAATGCTGTCAAATTCGATAAAATTGTAAGAATTTTTTCTTTTCTTTTTTTTTTATTATACTCACACACGCGCGCCAATCATCATCGTACGCCTTCTACCTTCTACCTCTCTCGTTTACCATACCATAACCTCAGGATACTATATATATGTATATATATATATACGTATGACAAGATTGTTTTTTCTTCGTCACAGGAAAGTAAGAATAGAAACGTACAGCAAACGTTTTAAATTGGGTCGAGATACTTAGTTAAAAAAAGAAAAAAAATGAATCATGAAAGGTTTTTCTCAAACGAAACTAGATGATTTTGCAGTACCGACAGCTCTCAGGTGTCTTCTAAAATCAAGATAAACTTTTCGCACAACCGAGAAAAAGAAAGTCGTGCTGATGACTCTCTCGCCCGTTGCCTATATACTTACCCTCTGCAATTAGATTTACCCAAGGAGGAGGAGGAGGAGGCCCCGTGATAACGAATCATTGCGCGATAGCCGAGAAATTGCAAGGTGCGTTTAGTTACTGCCAAGTTCTGATGGAAGACGGAAAACAAAAAAAATATATTGAACGATGAAAATAAAAAGAAAACCGTGAAGGAAAGTGGTGGAGTAAATGCTACAGCAAAGGTGGTCAAGAGTACCAAGCGAGAGCAATGAGTTTTTCGCGAAAGTTGAGCCGTTTCTTGGATGTAATCTATAAACTTGGCTCGCTCGGTATATCGGAGGTGGACGATGACCTGACGATGATTGCAGACCTGCACGACGATACATTAGTTCATATTCCTTCGATTACAGGTTTTCTCTTGATTTTTGCGACTGCTGTTTTTCTTTTCTTTATTTTTTTTGTGACATAAGTACCGGGGGGAGCTTGAGAACTTTGTATCAAAAATTGAGCAAGACCAATGATACTTTTCTGATTTCCTTTTGAAGGGTGATACGTACATTTTTGAGGAAAAGTTCGATCCAGGGGCTATCGATGCAGCGACTGGTTAATCCAGATACCATAAATTTTATTGTAACGATTGGATAATAAATTCCTGATTCAACATCTTATTTTAATTTCGCACGACGTACGTCACCTTCTTGTGAACCCTTCGTGCGTAAGTAGTTTTTTGTTGAATATTTAAGAAATGAGATGAACTTTTTTTTGCTTAAACGAACGTGAGCTGCTGCTGCTGCTGCTGATTCTGCAGATTTGTTTTTTCTACTTATTTTTTTTTCTTGCTACGTCGCGAGCGTGTCATGCATAAACATTACGCATCTCGCATGTATGATAAACGTTGCTTGCATTAGTACTGGCTCGATATGGAGAAAATTGTGAAATTATTTAAACACTCTCTGACGCCACGTTGAACATTAATTATGCGGAGTCCACGTCGTGGTGATGTTTTTATTCATCTCTCGCATGATATTTTGTCCTGAGCCACCGTAGGCAGGTTTGTACATTTGTAGCAATTATAATATTAGTGTACACAGATTATTTATGCAAAGTAACTAAAAATCATTGAAAAAAAAAATACTATATAGCAGGTGGACATTTTTAGTATGCTCATTTTTTCTATTCATAAATATAAACAAATATAAACAATCAACAAATAAATAAGTATATGGAATATAAAACGTAAGATAATCCATGTAGAAACGATGTGCAGATGAGATAATATTTAAAAAAAAAATTAAACTTTGAACAGGAAAGCAAAAAATGATTTAAAAAATAGATACTCCTGTTACGTGGGAATTGTGGAGTTTCGGGGTGTAAGGGGATTGAATACACGTGAAAGAAAGTATATCAAAATGTTTCACCAACGCCCAAGCGAAAAATCAGTTAATAATAAGAAAGTATATGTTCGTTTATTAGAGTCTCCAAGCGAGAGCAGTCGCGTGCGTGGCGTTAGGTTCGGAGGCTGATTTGATTTTGATTTTTAACTAAATTTATTGATGCCAAGGGTGGTTTACACCCGTATGGCATGAGCATAATTACAAGCAATATTTTTATAATTTTATAAAGAACATTCTATAAGTAAATAAATACATTGCAATTTCTTAGATACGCTTCATTCGCGGATTTCATAGCTATGTCGCAATAAAAGATAATACAATTCCAAGTGACCACAATAGTCAATTTAGTCGCAATACAATTTAACTCGAGCAGATACATTATAAATAAAATACAAGGTACATACGTAGCATTTTTGTAATGTAAGTGTGCATTATTAGTGCTAGAATTTATTAACTACTCCTCTCTCGTTCGTGCCAATAAGTACTTAAAGTAGTCCGTCTTGAACGAGCCGAGCGAGTCCCTCGATCTGATAGATGCCGGAATTGAGTCCCAGAGACGCATTGCGCGCTGGGAGAAGGAGGATGCGTACACATTTAAAGTAGCTCGCGGCATATGAAAGTCAGATCGAGGGAGACGCTCAGATCGCCGCAAGTCCTGATTTGCCGGAGGGAGAAGGTCGTACATGTACTTTGGCTCTTTGGTGCTAAGAATTTTGTATGTGGTTACAGCTAAAAAATATTCGCGCCTAATACTCGGTCGCAACCATCCAAGCCTTTCATAATATTTCTTCAACGACGCGTCACGCCTAAGATCACGCCGCTGATCGGAGAGAGAGAGCGCGGGAGAGCTGATAACGCTCGGGCCTCGGGCCCGCCGCAGAAAGGTGATCATCATACTCTGTATCTGCTGCTCATGCGCCGTGAGAGGTGAGTCTTGGGCGCGAACTTACAAAGGTTCTAGATACTGTACGTCACACCCATGTAATAGTAAATTAAAAATTCATAAAAGTTTCACCTCCTACTGGGGTTCTAAATGTTTAAAGTGTGCGATCTTTATCATCAAGTTTTTGAAGTTGACAATTATTTCTTATCACAACATACATGATCTCGTTTAATTAATACCATAAATTACATCAAAGGATCAGGTTACACAAAAAAAAAGAAGAAAAAAAAGTTTTTAAAATGTAAGTAAATCGCAGAAAAAGAAAAAAAATTAATCCAACCTGTTCGATGGCCTGTGCCAGAGGAATGCCGTGCTCGCGCAGGTAGTCCTCGGTGAGGGTCGGTGCGTGCGCGAGGGCCGCTTCGCTGACGACGCCGCTGCTTCCGGCAACAGCTGGATTATCGCTTCCGTTACTGCCGTTACTCTCATCCTCCATGACCATCGGCTTTACCACGTACTGCTGTCTGCCCATTACCTGCAATTGAGATTCCGATTTTTTTTCTTTTCTTTTTTTTTTATTATACTCACACACGCGCGCCAATCATCATCGTACGCCTTCTACCTTCTACCTCTCTCGTTTACCATACCATTACAGAGGGATAGGAAACTCTCTGACGCCGTTTTGAAGTTTGCCTATTGAATTATACGTGCGCGAGGGAGAGAGGAATGGGGTATCGCGCGAGGAAATCTGTATTTAAGCGCCGTAATGTTTGATGATTCGCGAGTAGGGAAAGCGTTGAAATCCTCGCGCGTGGAATATATACTGCCTTGTAATTAAGGAGTAACGTGTGCGTGTGTACGTGTGCACGGACAAGGACGTTGGTTTAATTAATTTTGGTGTTGGCGTTGCTTTCGCAAACATTTGCTTTGATGGAAAAAAAAACCAGGTGAGATAATGTTTGGCTGGTAAATCGTTACAGGCATTAATACATGCCAGACTATCCATCAACCAAGTGATGTTTGATCAAGGCTTACTTGATAGTTTTTTTTTTTTTTTTTTTTTTTTTCATACTCTAGCTCTTAGTAAATAGTAAAAATGTGAACGGTGCCGCGCAAGAATGAGCGATGATGACAGTACTTCATGTTCGCACGTTTGATGACTTAAGCGATGATTTGTCGAACCGATAAATTCCAGTATGTAACGGACGAGGTACTCTACAACGGGTAAAAAGTGTCTAACTGTCCAAATTTTATAATCTTGAAAAACAATTAATAAATAATTGAAAAGTATTAATAAGATGGGCAAGAGTTGTAGAAGTAGATTTAAAATACGGGGGCTCTACAAAAGTAAATGATACGTAAGAGTTGGTGTGAAATCGATAGCACCACTAACTACGTCGTCTTACAATTAACATACGTAGAAAAGCGTGTGGGTCACAAGACTCATCTTTTACACTTTCTTAATCGTTAATTCAAAAAAAAAGAAACCAAAACGATCAACGTGAATATATATATATATTATGTGCAACGTGACCTTATTTATACGATTGTGATAATGCTTGGGCCCCTGCAGTCATACAACCAACACAACTGTCGTTGAGCAGTGCGCCGCCAAATGCATATTCATAGGCGTTGGCTTTACCACTACCCTGTATAGGTGTATTCCTCACGTCTGTACGTAAAAGGCAAAAAAACGCAAACGAGCCAATTAAAAAGTCGATCGACGCTTCCGGTTCTTCCTCGACCACACACACACACACACACACACACCAATGATGCTTCGAAGATCCTTCATCACTCAAGACCCTTTTCCGAGGGCTTATATACTTATGCTGTGGGTAGTATACCTACACCCTTGTATAACGGGAAGGAAGAATTTATGGTTTCCTTGCGCGCGTACACAGAGTAAGGCCCCGCTGAAATTGTATCCATCGCTTCGGTATTGGGTAAAACTTACGAGCAGCAGCCAGGAAACGATAAAACGCGTGCATATGTGGATCGATTAACTCGCCCCCTAATGACGTAAAGAGTTGCTCATCATCACGATCCAACCTCTTCTTCTCCAGTTTCGCTCGTCAAGCCGACCTTAGCTTTATACATGCACAGTGTTTTTTTTTTTTNTAAGTTTATTTATTGATGAATGTATAGACTTTTATGTTAACTTTTATTTTATTTACTTATTTATGAACTAAAAGATTAGAAACAAAAAAGTCATTTGAATTTATCCCCTTTTACATGTTAATTATAATATAATCGTATAACTTAATATAATATTATAACTTTATTATAATAGTATGAAAAAATACAATAAAATAATTGAAAAAATAAAATGTTACGAGAACGCTGCGGATACAGTATCAAGCATCAATCATTCTTGCTGTTACCTTGTATTATTATTATTATATCAAAGTTGATAAAAAAAAAAATATTTTTCATACACATTTTTTGCAATACGGAATTGAGGCATTAACAATATGCACGTAACAATATAATGTTCAAAATTTAATTTCGATGTAATTAATTAATGAAACTGTAAATTTTTAAATATCCTACTCTGAAAAGTAAATGCGTACAAAGCGATACCATTTACGCGCATATGTAGATTCTGTTTAACTGTGTTGGGTGAAAAAAAAAAAAAAAATACCAACATGTCTAGTGTATACAAGCAAGACTGCTTTTCAAAATTATATTCTCCCTCGCTTATTCCTCTCTGAGATAGGCAGTATTAGCATAAAAGCCGTTTTTCTATGCTAATGGCATTCAAGCGTGCGCGACCGAACAGGCGCGAGCAAACGACAAAATTCGTGAACGGCATAGGCAAAGAGCAAGCAAAGGCGCTGTATTATGTGTTTAAGGTATATTCCTTCGCTCAAGGCTTTGGTTTAGTCGAAGGGAAAAATTTATATCTCTTTACGGATTTTTTTTTCCATTGCTTATACATGACTGAGCAACTGATGATAATTACTGATGTAAATGTCTGCAAAATTTCGTATGGGTGCGGTTTTAATCTCATAGCTTTCTCTGATCTTGGGTACATGTATAAAATGAGCTGTTAGCACGATGCTGCTTGGGTTGGAAAATTTTAGTTGGGCAACCAGTTAGATTTGATGTAATTACGGATCACTTTGAGTAATCACTCGAGAAACACTATAGACTATTATTTGCGAAAATAAAATATTGTATCTTACATTGTTTCATAAAAAGCAAATAAATCAAAGAGGTAACTTATCAAATGATTATTTTTTATTAGTACCATTGGTAAAAATATTCTGCTGGTCTCATGTGTCAATCTCAATGAATTTTACAAAGGAATGTTATCTACAATTATCAAACAACGAATTGAATATTTTTTTTTTTCAAGAAAAAAAAAATTCAAACATATAGAGCTAGTACGTACGCTGTGTTTTTAAAAAACGGATTCATGTTAGCGGGTAAAATTTTCTGGTTTTAAAGAACATGAGAACTAGTTTTTTTTATTTTATGTGAATTTGAAAAACGCCACAGTCGTGGCATTGCAATGAAGTTTTAAAATAACTTGGTATTCGCATCATAATTTTAATCGTCTTTGTGTAGGTTTATTTTTTTGCTTTTCTAGATGATAGAAATGAAAAGTTCATCAATGCTTTTTTGCATTAGTATTTTTTAACATGTACCTATACATAAAATTTAAAAATAGGTTGAACTTTTTATTTGAATAAGTTATTTACATTTTATAAAAACTAGTATTTAAGTACTAAGGTTATTTAAATTTAATTTATATAGGTATATTGCACTCACTCGAAACTACCACTTTATCAATTTACAAGCTATTGAAAAAAACATTTTCGAACTAAGCTGCTAATGCATTGTTTATAGCTTATTCCTTATAAGTGTGTTTCATGCGACGAACCTTCATCAACTATAACTTTGGTCTTGCTATTATCTGTCGTGCATTAATCTCCAAACCATTTTATGAAAAAACTCATTACACCTATCTAGATAAGATTGAAAGTGTATTTATGAAATTATCGATAAATTCTAAGTGACAGAATTTTTTTTATCTCTTCATGTAGCATTTAAAAGTCACAATAAACTTATATGTAGAAATATAAAAAATACTTCACACAAAAAAATGTATGTTTTGCTTTTTGTATAAAAAATGTCTAAGAATTAAAGGATCCTATAGATCTATAGATCCAGAAAAGTTAGGAGATTTGATTTGGATAAAAAAAACTTAATTATTTTGAGTAGTTACCTGATTTAAAAAATTTGAGATAATATACAGTTGGGTAAAATATCCTTTTTTCCGTTCAGTTGCCAAAACGATTATTCATGTTCATTAATTATTTTATTATCATTCAATTATCATCAAACTTTTACATTAACCATTCAAACGTATGGATTAATATTCTATCAAAAATGTGCCCACGCACAAGTCTGATGAAGAACTTCTATATCTCTGGCGCATAAATCATGTGTCACAATTTTAATAGTAAATAAATCAACATTATCGGGACAATAGTTTCTTGGTTCAAGATACAAGTTTTATACCGAACAATAACCCTTATATTATTCCGCCTCTGGTTTCCGTTCCATCGAATTTTTAAACCTACGGTGCAATGAGGAGCCTCAAAATGAAAATCGTTTACACGAGTTAGTTTTTACGTATGGGCCGATGGACTGGCTATGCGACTGTTAGTTACTGACGTCGTGCTCGTGCAGCATATCCGGGACAGGAAGCAATCGCCAACCCGCATTTGACCTCCACATTGTATACAAAGCGAGGAGAGCCATACAATGACACGATATATTTGCTTATTTCCATCTTACGTATGTAGATCCGAATCACATTTTAAAAATCTTTGATCAAGCAATGCTTTACGCGAGAAAAATAAGTTATCCTTACGATGACCTGTCACATTTTTCTACAGAAAATTATTAAAAAAAAAAAAAGAATGTATAGACTTTTATGTTAACTTTTATTTTATTTACTTATTTATGAACTAAAAGATTAGAAACAAAAAAGTCATTTGAATTTATCCCCTTTTACATGTTAATTATAATATAATCGTATAACTTAATATAATATTATAACTTTATTATAATAGTATGAAAAAATACAATAAAATAATTGAAAAAATAAAATGTTACGAGAACGCTGCGGATACAGTATCAAGCATCAATCATTCTTGCTGTTACCTTGTATTATTATTATTATATCAAAGTTGATAAAAAAAAAAATATTTTTCATACACATTTTTTGCAATACGGAATTGAGGCATTAACAATATGCACGTAACAATATAATGTTCAAAATTTAATTTCGATGTAATTAATTAATGAAACTGTAAATTTTTAAATATCCTACTCTGAAAAGTAAATGCGTACAAAGCGATACNATCTTTGATCAAGCAATGCTTTACGCGAGAAAAATAAGTTATCCTTACGATGACCTGTCACATTTTTCTACAGAAAATTATTAAAAAAAAAAAAAAAAAAAAAAAAACCTGCTCCTAACTCTGCGTACATCGTCTCCTGGTTCCAGACACGTGGAAA